CATTTTATTGCTAAATGTGTACCTTAGTGAATAGTATCTCCAGTTCTTGTTTTTACAGGCATAAATGAAACTTTCACTAGCCAATGTGTTTAAATGCTTGCTGTCTTTTTCACAAGTAGATAAGACTTGATGTATAGGTTTTGGGGAACTGCTGTAACAATGCGAAATATTCCTGTTTGCTCAGTAACGTTGTCCTTTTCTTGGTGCTGAACTAATCTGTGCAATTAACAAACATTATAGATCTGTATTGTGCCTGTGGCAAACGTTCAAGTGAAACATTTCACAAGCACGAGCGTCTGTAAAGCTGACAGCTTTGAATGTGAGAATTGGAGGAACAGCTAAATTGTGTCCAAATACAGACACGAGTTGTGCTGAAGTCAGCATGAGGAGAGCAAAATTTACAATTCCCTCTTCTGCCACAGTAGGCTTGGGAAGTGGGAAGGGTTGTTTTTTTCTGTTCAGATTGTAACGTTATTTACTTACAGCTGAAAATAAAGAGGTAGCAATTAAAATGACCTCTTGCAGAAGCCATCGATTGTCATTGGAGCTCGTTGCAACTCACAAGCAACTGTGGGATATGTATAGTGTTACTGTAATTTGTAATAATCGTACTCCTTGCTACACTAAACCCATTTTATGAGTTTGGTTTTATTAAATTGCTTAGCATAGAAAGGAGAAGGTCAACTTCACCTTCATTTCCTTCAGCTTTTATTGTCAGGCAGTCCTCCTGAACTGGAGAGCTTTTGAGTTATCACATTTACCCTGAATCCCTTCTTGGGCACTTTCCGCTGGAGTTGGTGAAGACTGGTGTGTTCTAGTAGATGAAAATTGGTATTACTTCTAATGTAGGCAGCTTTCCAGGGCTAGCTGTGCACAGAGGCAGGCAGTGCGCTTCAGGTGCCGTCTGCCAACACGGCACCTAAAGCTAGCGTGTTCTTTCTAGATCCCATCGTGAAAGACCAGGCTCGGATGGGCTCGTCCAACATGCCAGGTGGCAGCACTCCTGTCAGCAGTGCCAGCATGATGTCAGGTCAGTTCTGCCATTGACTGTTCTTGGTGCATGGCATTCTAAAGCATGTATAATAGCTGTGTGGATGTGAGGATCCAGGAGAGTGCGTTCTACAGGTGAGGCATTAGGTCATCTCCTGGGGCTGATGACAAGTGCAAGGAGAGCTACAAAGAAGTGGATGGGAGAGAGTGATAAATAAGGCCTCTCTGCAGCCTGACCTACTTTTCTAGTCTTGTTTTAAAGAAAAGTGCTTTGTAGTTGGATGTTTCGGGAGCAGTTTGAAGGACAGTGATATGGTCGCACAGGGCCACTTCTGCCCTTAGGAGATGGTTGTATGTATTCAACTCTGAGATCTTTTCAGAATCTTTAGAGAACAGTAAAATATCTTTAATCTCAGCTTATTTTGGAAGCTGTGGAAATACAGCAAAATGCCACCAAACTGAACTGCAAAGGTAACTGTTCATTTAAGAAGCTGAGCTGTCCTGGATTCCTGGATAGAGATGCACTGTTTTCCCTCTAACTCTTGTGTCTTTGTTTCAGGGATCTCTTCAGTGCCAACACCTTCACCCCTTGGACCCTTAGCAGGCTCACCCGTCATTTCTGCCACCACCACTCTGGGGATGCCAGTTCCAGCTGCTGCAGGAGCTCAGCAGTAGTGATGGGTTTTGTCTCCTGCTGCCTGAGCTGAGTCAGGTGGGGAAGAGGTTTCCCCTCCACCTCTCCTCAGGACGCAGCTCGTGCCTGGCAGGGGAAGGGAGGGGATGGAACGCTTTGGAGGCACCGTGTCTGAACTGTTGCTTGTGGATTTATAGTAGTTCAGTCATTATATACAAAATTATTATAGGCTGATTTTTCTTTTTTTACTTGAACTTTTCGTAACTCAGGGGATTCCCTGAAAATACCTACAGATGGAATATTTCTCGGACAGTTTTTTTTTCCCCCCCAAAAGTACTCTTCATTTAAGAACACAGATGAATCAACAGCATTTCCAAGCTATTGCATCCTGCTGGAAATCTCTTCTCTTCATGTTCCCACCATTACTCCTCCACCAGCCTACACCTTGGGGGATTGTGCTGTTCTCCAGAGACTACCAAACCAAGTCTTCATGAGGCAGGGGAGGGGGATTCTTAAAGTACCAGTCACTTTAACTGCATACGACTCCGCTAGGGTACACTGAGGAGACAATTCCAGTATGGAGAAGTGGTATAAACTTAAAAGAAGTAAGTGCAGATAATGTCTAAAACCCAATTTTGATTGAATCATGTCTCCTTAGGAGCCAACCAGAATGCCAACTCACTCCCTTGCATGTAATTTTAGTCTTAAAACATAAAGTTACTGATCCAGTTGAAGTCCTTGCCATTTCCTGGAAAAGGTGCTCCTGCAGAGTAAGCCATACTCTCATCAGTACCTTTCTCGTGGAGGGTTCTTCCTGCCATTGCTTGGCTTGGATCTCTGGAATTAGTTTGTTATTGGGTATATTGTTTTTAAATTGTTTATATAGGTTTCAAGCTGGTGGCTACTTAAAGCTGGAAAAATCAGACTGCGCCAAGTCAGATATCACATCTTCACCCACCATCCCCTCCCTCACGTGCCATGTGGTGAGAATACCAGTTACCTCACAGTCTTGTAAATATGCACTGAGAGGAAGGAGCAAGCAGACTTTAACTTAAACTGAAATGGTAGATCAGTAATTGTGGACAAATATTATCATTGACAACAAAAAAAGCACCCTTGTTGCAGCCCTGCTACCCCTTGCTGTGTATATATACTTTGTCCTTCATATGTGAAAGATCCAGTGTTGGAATTCTTTGGTGTAAATAAACATTTGGTTTTATTTATCGAGGTTAGATTTAAGTTCCCTGTGTAGAGGTCTCACTGGGTTGGTGTTGCACACTTTTACACAGGAGTGGCCAACAGGCCTGCACGTCCTGGGGAGGCCGCTTCCCTATTCACTTGCACCTTGGTATGATCTGTTGTAGTGAGCAGTGCAGAGAAGCCTTATAGAAACATCACAAACCAAAGTATCTCCTGGGATAAGGATCTTTTGCCATAAAAACAAAAAACACCCTCCTCTTCTGTCTCAGCTGTGAAGGGATTTGGGATACTGAACAATTTTTTTTTTTTCTTTTTGGTGCATTGCTGTTCATTGAAATCAAATCAGTTATGCTTGTCAGTGCTCTCCTGAAGAGCACAATGGCACCCATCATCTCTCAGTGATCTCCAGCCCTGATGCCATCGCAGCAGCGGCTTGTTCTGGGCATTGAATATTCCCCCAGTTCCTGCAACAAGTCCTGCAGCCTTGGCATCCTGCTCCTGCTTGTCTTACGGGCATCCATCACTTGTTTGTTCTTCCCTGGGGGGAGTTATAACCATGTATTATTTCCTTGTTATTTTGATTAATTTTGCAAGGTAGGATAGTAGAGTGTATGGGCTGAGTTAAAGCAACTGAAGAGAATGGGGCACACAAACACGAAGCACGGCCCCCTTTCTGTGAGGATCGCCGGCATAGGAGACGAGGTCTTCAACGTACACCAGGGTAGCTTTCTCCTCCGTGATTTCATCCAGTGAAAATATATTGTACTTAATCTTTTTATATCCTAGAATGATGTGAAAGTTGGACCATGTTGACTGTTTCCTTGATGTGCTGTAACTTAAAGCACTGAGTATGACAAAAATACAACTTGTGGTTGTTTGCACTAGGTTGTGAGCTACGCAGGACATTTAACCAAGTTTTTTTTATTATTATTTTGAGTGAGGGAGGTTTGTGAATTGGAGTGCTTGGTGCTCCCTCCGAGCTTAAAAAAAAAAAAAAAACGTGGGTAAGCTGCGTGAAAGCGGAAACCGCAAACGGCTGAAGGTCCTCGTGCCCGTAAGCCTTGCAAAAGGAAGCTCGACCACCTGCGCCCGGAGGGACCGCTCCGCAGCGACCAGCTCGGCCCGAGCGCGGGGCTTGGACGGTGACGGTGCGTCGTGAATTGCCTCAACCGGCCGCCCCGTTCGGGACACTCGCTCCTCAGCACCAGCTGCATCCGCGGCGCGTTAGCGGGCGGCAAA